CCACAGAGTCATCAGACAGCCAATCGGTTTCATTTTCTAATATCAATATCAGAAAATCCTGAATCTTCTTGAAAGGAGCAACAACTCCTTAACTGAGCTAAACACTCATTCTGCCAATTTCACTCAAGTTTCTAGTGTCCAAACTGAAAGCATGCTTAATCCAGGTATCCAAGGTGTCCAATGGATTCTGGATACAGGTGCTACCGATCACGTTACTTGCTTTAAATTTCATTTTTCCTTTATCCAAAGAATTAAACCAGTTTCAATTACTCTTCCAAATGGTCATTTTGTTGTTGCTTCATATTCAGGCACAATTCCTATTTCTCATTCACTGATTTTGTCAAATGTTTTGTACGTACCTGATTTCAAAGCGAACCTTATTTCCATTACCAAATTGTTAAGTCATAATTCATATTATCTGATTTTTCGTCCATCTTTTTGTCTCATCCAGCAGCTCCTTACCCGGGTGACGATTGGTACTGCTGAACAGAAGAATGGACTATATGTGATAACCAACAAGATAAAGAAGAGGAAGAACTGTGTAGATTCAGTTAGGAGTATTGACAGTACTTGTAATAGCACAAATAGCTACAAAAGAAATAACGGTGATCCCACATTGTGGCACCAAAGACTTGGTCATGTATATGAGAATATTTTACATGCAATGTCTCTTCAATTCCCTTTCATTTCCTTTCATCGAGATATTGTATGTGACCCTTGCCACTATGCAAAACAAAGACGTCTTCCTTATAAATACAGTGACAACACATCCTCTAAGATATTTCAGCTTGTACATGATGATATCTGGGGACCATATTCGGAGTCATCCATAGAAGGGCACAGATATTTTCTCACTCTAGTAGACGATTATTCTAGATTCACATGGATAATTCTAATGAGAAACAAGTCTGAAACTCGCCAACATATCCAAAATTTCCATGCTTTCATCGAAAATCAGTTTCAGACTTCATTACAAACTCTTCGAAGTGACAATGGAGCTGAGTTTTTGATGACAGATCTGTACTCAAAGAAAGGAATTATCCACCAACGAACCTGTGTTGAATGCCCCCAACAGAATGGTACCGTGGAACGTAAGCATCAACATGTGCTCAATGTAGCACGAGCTTTGTTATTCCAAGCTCAAATGCCTACCAAGCTATGGTCCTTTGCTGTTACCCATGCTATCCATCTCATAAACAGAACCATATCCCCTATTCTCCTAAACAAGACCCCTTATGAGGCTTTACATGGAGTCTCACCTTCCTTGATTGACCTTCGAGTCTTTGGGTGCTTATGCTATGCATCTACCCTTCAAGCACATTGCACAAAGTTCGATCCTCGTGCACGAAAGGCTGTCTTTCTTGGCTTTAAAGCTGGTGTTAAAGGCTATTTGCTTTATGACTTGAATTCCCATAAGACTTTCCTATCCAGAAATATGGTGTTTTATGAGGCTGTGTTCCCTTTTCACAGCAATCCTACCCATATAGCTGACAGTTCCACTCCATCACCTATCACCACATGTCCTTTGGATTTTGACACTTTCTTTAACCTCACACCATTTGATCCCTCACACAACCTATACACATCACGACCAGCAAGCCTGTCACTATTTCCCCTACTGTACCCATTCCTTCTATTATCCCAAGGTCCATAGCTAGTACTCATACTGCCAACGCTGATGTCCCAGGGTCCATAACAGGTACTGATACTGCTCAAGGTGCTCAGTTACAACATCCTTCTTCTGACCCCTGCACAGCCCTCTACTCACACTGATCTACGCAGGTCTTCACGTCTTAGAACATCACCCAAATATCTTGCAGATTATCACTATAGTCCTTCTACTGTCCACCATGCCAATCTTTGCCATGGTACCTCTCCCAACTCCTCTCAATATCCACTGCATAATGTTTTATCTTACCATAATTGTTCTCCTGCTTTTCGTCATTTTTGTTTGAACATTTCCACATTTGTTGAGCCTAAGTCCTATGGTCAAGCTGTAAAGTCTGGTGACTGGTGCAAGGCAATGGACTCCGAGTTACAGGCTTTGGCTCAAAACCACGCTTGGGACTTGGTTGCTTTGCCTCCTAATAAACATCTCATTGGCTGTAAGTGGGTTTATAAGATCAAGTACAAATCTTATGGATCTATCGAGCGGCTAAAGGCTCGTCTTGTGGCCAAGGGTTTCACACAAATGAAGGACATTGATTTCTTTGATACCTTTAGCCCAGTGGCCAAACTCAGTTCCATCAGAATCTTACTAGCGATTGCTGTTGCTAAGGGATGGTTCTTGCATCAACTTCATGTCAACAACGCCTTTCTTCACGGTGACTTGCATGAGGAGGTGTTCATGGAACCTCCACCAGGTTTGCCACATGTTAAGCCTGGCCAAGTATGTCGTCTCAAGAAATCATTGTATGGCCTTCGTCAAGCCAGTAGACAGTGGCATGCTAAGCTCACTGCCTTTCTCTTCTCGCTTGGCTATCAGCAAGCAAATGCAGATCATTCCATCTTCACACGACAGAAGCATTCCTCCTTCACTATCCTCCTTGTCTACGTTGATGACATTGTCTTGTCGGGTAATGACTTTCCCGAAATATGTCGAGTGAAGCGTTTGTTGGATGCTCAATTTCGCATTAAGGACCTTGGGGAATTGCGTTTCTTCCTTGGTTCGGAGGTATCACGTTCTTCTCAGGGTATCGTTCTCAGTCAACGGAAATATGCCCTGGACATTATTGCTGACTCTGGTCTTCTTGGTAGTAAGCCAGCTCGCACTTATATGGATGCAGCAATCAAACTCAGTGCATCAGAAGGTTGTTTCCTTGCTGATCCTTCTCCTTATAGGCGTTTAATTGACCGGTTGTTGTACCTTACTACCACCAGACCTGATATTTGCCATGCTGTAAATCACCTCAGTCAGTATGTGTCTCAACCGACTGAGGTTCATTTCACTGCTGCCAAGAGAATTGTTCGATACTTAAAGGCTGCTCCTGGGAATGGTTTGTTTTTTCCTTCGGTAAATGATCTCCATGTCAAGGCATTTGCTGATTCGGACTGGGCCACTATCCCAGATACCAGGAAATCGACTTCAGGTCTTTGCATCTTTCTTGGTCCAGCCTTGGTCATGTGGAGATCCAAGAAACAATCCATTGTCAGTCGTTCTTCCTCTGAAGCTGAGTACAGGGCCCTTGCCAGCCTCTCTTGTGAGCTCCAATGGGTTCAATACCTTTTCCATGACTTACAAGTCCCTTGGTCCAAGCCTGCTTCCGTATATTGTGACAGTCGATCGGCCATTTACCTTGCCCATAATGCCACCTTCAATGAACGCTCCAAGCATATCGAAATCGACTGTCATGTTACTCGCAATAAAATTCGTTCAGGCTTGCTGCACTTGCTTCCCATTGCCACTGCTGATCAGGTTGCTGACTTCCTTACTAAGTCGTTGTTCTTTCCTCTATTTACACTCGCTCTCTCCAAGTTGGGCATGCATGATGTATATCGCCCAACTTGTGGGGGGGGGGGGGGTATTGGATGACAAGTTGTATCAGCATCAGAATATGCATACTAAGTCAGTTACACCAGCAGCCACTACATGTAACCCACGTCAGCAAGCAAATGCAGTTCCACTAATTGCGGGTTTAGTTAGATCTAGTTAGTTATGACTCTGTTAGTTTAGCTAGATCTAATCCGATGTATAAATATATGAACACATTTAATATTTACACACTTCTTGATAATGAATTTTTTCATCAGTTTCTAGAACACTTATTTCCACCAGGATACGGTTCCGTATCCTGATGTGTGTTTTTTTTATTCCAGGATACAGCTTTGTATCCTAGTGTTAAAAATTTGCTGCAACTTTTCTCATCTGCAGCGATAGCAGAAACGAGCAACCCTTATATGAAAACATCGATTTTCACGTGAATCAAGGCTTGGTTTCGTGGTGAGTTACGAGAAGATGGCTCTGCTTGCTTGGTTTTATGAGAAGTTTGGATAGGTTCAGGTTTTCTTCATGTGCATTAAATAAAGTAAAAGATATTCTCATGCTACATGAGATAAGTTTTCTTCCTACACATCGTTCGATAATTGTACCACTTTTTTTTTTCCTTTTTTATTTTTTCAGGTGGTAGAACTCACAAATTTATTTCTATGACATGAGATAACTTATCTCCTTTAACATGAGATTAATAAAACCTTTAAATAAATGAGATTCAATTATTATTAATGAAAAAAGAGATAGACACAAATTTCACATGAAATTTTAACATTAGATGATCCATTCCCTTTGCAGAAACTCACTTACCCTGGGTAATTGGAGATTAATTCCGCCGTCTGACCCAATTCGAGCATTTCCTCTCTACCCACCTTTAATTTCTCTGTTATATTGGCCATAACCCATGAGGCCATGATTCTTAATACTTACTGCAAACCTTCCAATCATAACCGCAATTACGCCAAGCACAAATATTACGATTAGAACCCCAACGACGGAACCAAGGGAGTTATGTTGTGAATGCACCATTATCATTTATAGGATTCTTGTGCCACGGTGAGAGGTCGTCTTGAGTGTAATGGGGTGTTTTACGTGTAATTATGTATTAAAATTCAAAGAAGTTTAGTTTCACTTTTTAAGTTTGGTTAAGTTATCATTAAAGTTTGATACTTTGATAAATGAGTTTATATAATAGAGTACTCACACTAACTAATAATTTCATATATTAGTTTATCTTATGATATTTAATAGGGCATACAAAACGGATCCTTTGTATATATCTTTGATTCCGGCTAATAACATGTATAATTAAGAATAAAAAAACAAGTGAATTATACAACCATTCTGATTGAAACAATGAAAAGTAGATTCTTCAATTCTTTTGGCGATGATTGAGAGCAAAGGACAGTATTTCATTCCTCATTAATGATCCCATATTGTGAAGTAACTTGATAACAATCTAAATATCGTTTAGGTAGATTCTCATTTGATGAACCTCAAACAAAACTTATTAGTCTTTTTCATCGCCAGCAAGTCTCTCTCTCAATATTTTTACTCCCATATATCTGGACCAAATAAAGAAAATAAAAGTCAACAACCATTAAAATATCTTAAATCTTAGGAATATGTATATTTATATATTAATGGAACACGTATATTATACCTTCCAAGCATCATAACAGTGGCTTGAGGATTAGTTCCGGGAGAATAATTAAAGGTAGAACCGTCGATAACACGCAGTGCATCCACACCAAGAACCTTATAATCACGATCAACAACTCTCCCAACTTGGCAGCCCCCATGATAGTGCCATATGGTCATTACAGTGTCTCTGCAGAACTGCTCCAGAGTCGTTGAAGCATTCGTGTGTTTAGGTAATAAATTCACCGGGGAACTTGTAGTCATGTTAAGTAACACGGACAACGGCATATTTTGGTATCTGAATGGAGAGAAAGCCTTGGATTCGAGTATTTTCTCAATGGTGCGCATGCCTTGGACACATCTCTCCAAGTCCCTGGGTTCTTGGAAGTAGTTGAAGGTCACCAATGGGTTCTCATTTGGATCACTGTTTCTTAGCTCCAAATAACCCGTTGAAATTGGACCCATGATTTTCTCCAGAATGAATCCCCCTCTGAATGCTGCCTGGTCAAGGCTTTCCATCATCTTTATTGCTTTTGCCAGTGCTTCTTGTGTCCTTTGCTTTGGGGGCACCTTCGAGAATTGACCAATCTGCATTTATAAATTACCATCTAGTTGTGAGGTGTGTTGTTCATGTTAATAAAGTATTTAATTGGGTATCGGTGTATAGTACAAACTAGTAGTGAGTTGTATATAATTGGACTTATCAAATTTAAGATGAATATATATATGGGTTTCTCACATGAATATATATATGGGTTTCTCACTTGTGATAGTAGATAAATTTTTTTACAGCAAGGATATTTACACCAAAATTCACATACATATCTTGGCATTTAAAAAAAAAATTAGAACTCTCGTGCGAATTCTGAATTTTTATGTGTTTCTGCAAAATGTCTCATCTGCAGTCACATAAGAAATATATTTTAAAATTTTTTTGTAAAAAAATTGCTCAGTTAAAGCTGATTGGATAAGTTTTTTCAAAGTAATGTAGTCAAACATGTCACATATGCTAACAAGACTAGTCCCGTCACTGACACTGACGGGACTCGTGCCACGTCAGCGGTAGGCAATCTCATTATCGTAAAACTTCGGAAGGTCATAACTTGTGACTCGGGTATCAAAATCAGATGATTTTTTTTTATTTCACATAAATTTTAGAAATCTACGCAATGAAACCTAATTTAGCATATTTTATCTCCCACAAATATAGTTTGAAAATCTTCTGGATTTAAACGCGTGATTGTGGTACAATTGTACACCAATTCAAATTATGTTTGTGAGAGATAAAATATGTCAAATGAGATGTCATTGCGTAAATCTCGAAAAGTTATGTGAAATAAAAAAAAATCATCTGATTTGGATACCGGAGTCACAAGTTATGGTCTTCTGAAGTTTTATGATAACAAAACTCCCTACGTGGCGCTGACGTGGCACGAGTCCCGTCAGTGTTAGTGACGAGACTAGTCCCGTCAGCATATGTGACATGTTCGACTGCATTACTTTAAAAAAACTTATCCAATCAACTTTAACTGGATAATTCTTTTGCTCAAAAATTTTAAAATGGTGCTTTTCCCGAAATATAACAACACTTCAAATATTATACCTTGGGGGAAAACATTCCAGCGGCAAAGTTTTCACCACTGGCGGCTTCAATATAGCTTCCAAAGTTTGTGATGCCGACAACCTCAATGAGGGATACCTCAACGGGGATAGGAGATGGGACAAAGATAGCATTCATTGGGTTATCTGACATTCCCTGTCCTACCAAGGGTTGGTCCAATACAACGTTAATGTTGTGTTCCCTCAGGTGATGTGCTGCTCCAATTCCACTCAACATCAGAATCTGTGGGCTTCCAAGTGCACCAGCTGACACAATGATCTCGTTCCTTGACCCCTGCTTCAAGTATGCCCTGTGTTCTGCCCCTGATGCATCCCTAAATATTACTCCACATGCCACTGGCCTTGATCCACCTGTTCAATTAATTAATTTCACCACCCACATATATAATATCATTAAATAAGAATAGAATGCAAATTAAACTATATATACACGAAAATGTAGGATCGCTCAAATAAGCACACCTTTGTTTCTAAATAAGATCCTATGCACGGTGGCATGCAAAAGTAGAGTAATTCCATTTGGGTTAGCATATTCCAAAAGATCAGCAGCGGTATGCCTATGACCTTGCTGGTCAAAGATGGTTCCCCCAACCTTAGTCCCAATAATATGATCGTAAGTAAAACCATTGTAAGGCAACACTCCAATTTCCAACAATCCATCCCTCACAGCTGATTGCCACTGCCGCATAAGTGGCTCGAATGTCACCACTCGTTCCACCCATTGGTACGATTCATTTACTAACCTTCCATCCCAACCAGCTTCCCTAAACAACAACAATCAATGCATACATAATGCATAATGTATTATATATAGTTTAATACAAGTCATAGTTCATTCATAAATCATGCATAAAGATTAAAAAAAGAAAAACACATGTTTGCATACGTTACGTAGAGAGGGCTTGCGCGAGTGTAGAAGCCAGCGTTCAAACAGCTTCCACCACCAAGGACGCGAGCTCTTGAGTTAATGACGCCTTCTTGGGAGATGAAACGCTGAGAGGGAGAGGTAGGTGACGTGTCCGACAGCGCAGCACCGAAGGCAGCTAAATTGGTTATGTTGGGGTTTCCATAAGGTGACCCTCCACGTTCAAGCAGCAAAACGCTGTGGTTTTGGGATAGGGTCGTAGCTAAAGGACACCCAGCGGTTCCACCACCAATTACGATGTAGTCGTAGTAGGAGATGTTTGGTGCAGAGGTTGCATTGTGCATAAACGTAAAATTCGGAGCTATATATATATATAAATCAACAACAAAAAACACAGGACAGTCTCAGAATCGGTGGTAACATTTCATAAAGATTCTTAATTTCACTAGTCCTACAATATTTTTTATTTTTTTTTGGCTCGTCCTGATGGAGAAAATAATCAGATACTCAGAACCTTATCAGATGACAAATAGGTCAATTCGTTTGAATGTGAAAAGGGGCAAGACTTAATTACTTGAATTTGAACATCTATTATTTGCGTGACGGAATCAAACTGCTAATTAGTTAGAGCTGACCACAACAGAGAAAAACATATGTGTATATATTTTTGGGTTAAATATGTGTAATATTTTTGAAAGGATTTTTTTTTTTGAAAGGAAAATATGTGTAATTTTAAATACACAAGTTATGTCATATTAGTTCTTAATACTAAAACATACATAACGTTAAAAACTAAAATGACACAACTTGTGTTTTTTAAAAGTACGAAGTGTTAAAAACTTCCCTATATTTTTACCTTTCTCAAAGGCACAAGCACAATGTTTAGGAGAGAAGAAAATCCCAGCAAGTGACACCAGAATCAGCCTCCACAGCGAAACACCCATTGCAGCTGACTTGTGAGACACTACTAAAAACTACAAGTAGTAAGAAGGTGGTCTTAATGGAATTTGGTTTAAACTGTAATGACCCAAACCAACCATTCTTTCTGATTATATAAGGGGAAAGCCCAACAATACCGGCACCTAAATATAAAGATCACTTAACTGTTTTTATCGCCGACACCTTAGTAATTGTTGTGTAGAACCATTGCCCCACAATAATTCAAGAAAATGCAGACTTTGTGATATGTTTATCACGCCCATGCAATCCCTTGTCCCGCCCAACTAATTTTTTAATATAAACTATTCATATTATATTAGATTCGTTTAATGATGTCGAAAGTTCATGAATATGTCATCTTTTACGTACATGGATAGAAGACCTATGATCCAAATTATACTACACCAAAATCAACTCACAGAGTGATCTTAGTGTATATTAGCAATATCATTATGCAGCCTCTCTTCGGTCTTGCACAAGTAGATTTATTTATTTATTTTTGAGATTATCTTCCGATAATTTCATAGGTTTTTCATGGACTAATTCGGAGTTCAGAATGGGTTCATGACTAAGGCTTTAAACCCTTCTCAAAAATGATATTTAGAAAGATCGAACATATGCTCTCATCCCACCTGCTCAGCTCCCATGCACCAATTGAGCTACCATCATTTAGTCTTTAGATTTACAACAACCTCCTGTGGCAATGAATTCCATTCCATTTTTGGATTCAAATAATTATTTCATTTATATTTAGCCACTCACATAATTAATAAATTAAAAAATTAGAACCGTTAAACTTAAATGCATGCAAATCAATCATTAATATTGTGGATAACACTTATTATTCATACCCGCATAAGTTGATATTTCCTTCTCTTAAATAAATATTTAATTACATCGCTCATTCGTTTACATAACTCAAAATTCCTTAATGTTATCAACATTTATGTGAATCCAACTAAGAAATAATAATCGCAGATTCAACGCTCCTATTCCACCACTGTGTTAACAAAAATCATTCATAGAAGTGCAACTTATCATAATATTGCACTCAGCCATTCAGATTTATTAAGAGTAATTTGTTGTTTTATTAACAAAACACAGAATACAAGTATTCAGTTTATTATATGAAAGATCAAATCAAGCAAATATGTCAGCCATAACAATTTGTGATTTTTTAAGCTCCATTTTGTTTTTTTAAGAAAAAATTATTTACAAAAAATTATTTTATTCTTTAAAAAGAAGTCAATTTATCTTAAAAATAATCAATTTTAAAATGTGTAATAAAAGTTATTTTTAAAAAAAAATCCAAATTCACCCTAAGTAATAAAGTTAATTCATATTAAGGGAGTCATAACAATTATTTATCAAATAATTTTATTTGACCAGAAAAATTAATATTATTAAAATCGGCTCGGTCATTGACCCGATCAAGGTATTGGGACACTGGTTCAACCACTGGATCATTAGTTGAACTGCATGACCCGGTAATTATATGCAATTCTATAAACATACTCAAATATATAAAAAAAATGATAAAAATTTGTTTGCCAAAAAAAATGATAAAAATTTCAAATATTTTAATATAAAAAATAATAAATCACACATTTTTATCCAATCAAGGATCAAACAAAAATATAATGATTGTGATACGGGGCTTCAGGTTCAGTAAACGACATCTTTAATTATAAATTAAATCAAAATTCCTGCATAGTACATAATTGAGATAATATTAGTGTTGTACGTACATAACCTATGTAAGTCAATAAGAAAAATACTCAAATATGTCTATTATGATTTTTTTTTTGAAAAAAAAAATTGGGACCGGGTCAGTTCACCGGTTTTCACGAAAATCGGCCGGGTCGCACCGGTTCTGATGCAGGATCGGTTCGTTGCTTTATCCGAACTTGTTATATGATCGGTTTACCGGTTCCCAAGTCGACCCAGCCAAGCTGATTTTATTAACATTGAAAAAAATTATCAAAGATTCTTAGGATTAATTTAATATAGAAGAAATCGAAATATAAAAAAAATAAAAATTGGTCAATACTAAAATGGAAATAATTGAAAAAAAATCAAGATAAGAAGGTATGGAATAGGCATGCAATTGGAACTTACTAAAAATTCGATTTTACTTGTTTCTTAAGCTAGTAATTTTTTATTTTGGTACAATGTAACTAGCTAGTAGTTAGATTAGAATGAATCTAATCAATCAATTGATGGGAGAGATTAAATGAATTAATTAATACTAAATTCATTAACGCATCAGTCCTTTTTAATTCCTAAACTCAAGTAGTTTCTCAACTTAAACTCTAGAAATAAAAGTATAGGAGTCACGCAACAAATTTTGCAAAACTATTGATCTCAATTTCTATTTTTATGATAAAAGCATTGGATCAACTTGCACAGTATAAAAATAATAAGACTTACATCAAATCTTAACCGTTAATTTTCGTACATCTAGCGATTATAATTTATTGAGAATTAATCTTTAATTAATGAGTATAATCCAATAAGTTACAATCGTTACATGTATGGAGATGATCAACGGTTAAATTTGATGTAAAGAACGTTTTTTATTCTTAGACTTCTGCTGCTAATGATTGTGGCATTTATGAATTAGTTTAAGTCATGCAAAAAAAAATTTAATTTTCTATGGAATTGTACGTACCTTTTTATTTTTATTTTAGAAAAGTGTATCTAGTTAATTATATTGTATTAGATTATCACCTTCTTTTGGATTATTATTCCTTATTGATTGTAAATAACCATTGAGAGCATATCTGATTTCAATTCTTTACTAAATATTTTTTTTTAGTTACTAAATATTGTTTCAAATGGGCAAAAAAAAGTCAAGACATCGTTTTTAAATATTAAATGTAAGTACGATATATTTAATAATAATATAAATAGTATAATAGTATTAATAAATAGAAGTCTGAGTTCCACACCCAAAAAAAAAAAATAGAAGTATAAGTTATGTTCAGAGACATAGATGCCAATTTGGTAAAGACATTGTTATTTTGGTAGTTTGAGGAAGTTAGGTGTAACGCCCGACCGCTTCAAGAATCAATGACTATCCCCACACGAGACTTTTCAGTGTACTTTTTTCTCACTCGCACACTTCCCGGGAAAACTTCCCAGGAGGTCACCCACCCAGAATTGCTCCAAGTCAAGCACGCTTAACTGTGGAGTTCTTCCGATCTGGGCTACCGAAAAGCATATGCATCTTGTTAGTATAGGTAGTACCAATTAATTCTTATAAACTATCTCAAACTGTGCAGTCTCATACCTGCACAGTCTTTGAAATCCCTCTCTTTCGGATGTCGATTCGATTCATTCATGCATGTAACCCCCCGCTGGAAGTATGTCAGGAGCCGCTCCTTGTCCGTGCCTCTTTGCACCGGCGATCACTCCCCGCCCTCGTCAGCGCTCAGGATGTTACATTAGGTCTGAACTGAATTCTGTCAATCTAGTTAAATTGTAAGGGAAATTATATGGGTTTAAAGTGACCTTAGATTAGTCTAATTATGATTAGATTAATTATTAAAAGTAGGTCAAAGTTGTATAAAAACGACCAATGAAAATCCTAATAGGTTAAGTTATCAAACTAAGCTTAATTACTAAGTTAGTATGTATCCTACATATGTGAGTCGGTTCTTCTTCTTCATTTTGGCTCCATGGCCAACCTAAGAAGAAGGAAGAGAAGTGGTTAACAAGTTAGATAATTCAATTGGTTAAAAAATCAAAGAAAGTCAACAAAAATGGCTAGTTTAGCTTTTAAGTGTCTTTAGGTGTTTTCCTCTTGTTTCTTTTCTTCATCTCCATGAAATTTCTGCATTTTTCTCCTCCATATCCAGCCATCATTCATGAACTTGGAGAGCTCATTTCATCTATTTATGTTCATAAAACTTATTTCACAAAAAATGATCGTTGAAGCTTAAGAAACAAAATCCTAAACTTTGTTTCTCCAAAGAAGCCTTCAATCTCTTGTTTTTTATTTTTGAAGACCATGACCTAGTATTGTTCATAAGTCCAAAAGTGAGCGTTTCAATGATTTGAAGCTTGGAAAATGATCTATAGGTGATTAGGAGTTCATTTGTGTCAAGAAATTCAAGTTTTACCGGTTAGTTTTTAAGTTATAATTATAGGTTTTCTTGTTGAATATGGATGAACATAGTTATGTTGTACCATATATTTATTATGTGTTTTGATTTGTATTTATGGTATTTAATGGTTGTAGAGTTGAAAGAAACAAGTAAGAATCATTTGAAGTTGTTAAAGATTCACAAACCTTAATAGGATGCAAATATGTTTCCTATTTTATAAAATTTATATCTGGAGTTGTAGGTCTCCAAATTGAGCGTGGTTTGTTCCAAATTAAAGATCTGCATGTCTAATATAACATATCAAAAATTTAAGGCAATCTGAGGATAATTGGAGTTTTCGTGAATTAATTATTACATAATGTTCAGGTTGAAAAATCTAAGTTGTCATTTCAGTTTTGCCTTGAATAATTATCTGAGAAGTTATTTCATGTAATGTTAATGAGGAATCATGATTAGTGCTTCGTAAATTGATGTTTTATGTGGTAAATTGTCATGAAAAAATTGGAAAAATATATAGTAACCCTAATCCTAACAATTCAGCCATGTATGATTTTTAGGAAATAAAAAGTATGATTACGGCTATGTCCATAATCCTAAAGATCATCAATTATATTCAATCAAATTCGAAAATATATTATCAAAATCAAAATTCTTATCAAAGTAATAAAATTAAGAATTTAAATTAGGTTGTATCCAAAATAAAATTAAATTAAATTAGGCAAGTAATAATAAATAGTCAAAAGATAATACATTAAGTCAAATCAAATCATTATTAAAATCAAATATCTCTTCAAAAATCAAAATCAAGAATTACACACGAATTAAGCGGGGATAAAATTAACGTTGTGTCCTGCAACCTAAGAAAGAAAGAAAAAATTATCATTGAACCTATACAT